TACTGTCTAGAAGTAGCGGAGATATTATGTTTGTGATATTATGTCTTTCCAAACCTGAGCTTAGTTTGAGCCATCTGTTCAGAAACATTGGCTCTCCATTTAATCGCACTGCTGTTTAGCAGAGAGAGCTGAGATGTTAAAGAGATCTCATTTGTGATTGTTCATTCCATGCAGTCGATATTTTCACAAATGTCACTTTCGCAGAAAAATAACTTTCCTCATGGAGTGTAATTGCTGGTTGGTGACTTTGCTGTGATTGAAACCTCAGGTTGTATTTGAATTTTCTGGATATTACAGCTATCATACGGATGCCTAGAGATCTGTCATTTTAAATCAGTTTGATATATGATGAACTTGCTTTCAGATTTCATTGCACTGTGATCCTGTCATATTTCATTAGCATATAAAGGTCATCCTTCGTCTTGTCCTTATTCTTGCCTCTCTCTCTCTCTCTCTCTCTCTCTCTCTCTCTCTCATGATTATGCATATATCTGCAGCCATATATCCTGCCACAACACTGACCCCTATAGGTCAGACACTGCCACAGCCTGCTCAAATCATCCAGCAACAGCAGCAGCAGCAGCGGGAAGGTAAGCAACAGAAATCACAGCTTTAATTTCTCTCACTAATCACTGTCTTTCCCCCTCATGTTGATATGAACCAATAAAATTCAGATTAGATAGTCCTATTTAGAAGTATCAAAGGCTCGACTGCTTCCCTGTGAAGATTTTACTACTGAGTTCCATTTTACAATCTTCAGTTTTAGTTACATCACTGTCAGATGCTTCCTGATCGGCCTGCTGCGTTTAAACTTTTTAAATGGCATAAATCATAAAACATTAAAAGAAAAATTACATTTACGTTTAGTCATTTTGCAGACGCTTTTATCCAAAGCGACTTACAATTGGGGAATACATAAAGCTATTCTTCTTAAAGAGGCAAACAGACACAGGAAGTGCTTGTAAAACCAAATTTTAGGCATTGTTCACATAAGTACAAGCTAGAAAGGGAAGGAATAAATAAAGAGAAAGAGGTTTTATTTTTTTTTTATTTATGATGAAGTCAAGTAGCGTCGAAAGAGATGAGTTTTCAGCTGTCGCTTGAAAATTGTCAGGGATTCAGCATTCCAGAAGATCATTCCACCAGCCAGGAGTGGTGAATGAGAATGTTCTGGAAAGTGATTTTGAGCCTCTCTGTGATGGTACCACGAGGCGTCGCTCACTAGCAGATCTCAGACTTCTGGAGGGGATGTAGATTCGTAGTAGTGAGTGGAAGTAGGCGGGTGCTGAGCCTGTGGCTGTTCTATATGCAAGCATCAATGTCTTGAACTTGATGTGAGCCTCAACCGATAGCCAGTGCAAGGAGATAAAGAGCGGTGTAACATGGGCTCTTTTGGGCTCGTTGAAAACCAGTCGTGCCGCTGCATTCTGAATCATTTATAGAGGTTTGATTGTGCTTGATGGAAGTCCAGCCAGATGAGCATTGCAGTAGTCCAGCCTAGAGATGACAAAGGCTTGGACAAGAAGTTGTGCAGCATGCTCCGTTAGAAAGGGCCTGATCTTTCTGATGTTGTGCAATGCAAACCTGCAAGATCGAGCAGTCTTTGCAATGTGGTCTTTGAAGGTCAGCTGGTCATCAAGGATTACACCAAGATTTCTGACCGAAGTCGATGGGGTAATTGTAGAAGATCCTAGCTGAATGCTGAAATCATGCTGTAGAGTTGGAGTGGTTGGGAAGACAAGAAGCTCAGTCTTTGCCAGGTTGAGCTGTAGGTGATGATCTTTCATCCATGCCGAGATGTCCGCCAGGCAGCCTGAGATCCTTGCAGCTACCGTTGGATCATCTGGTTGAAATGAGAGATAGAGCTGTGTGTCATCAGCATAGCAATGGTAGGATAAGCCATGTGCCTGTATGATGGGACCCAGTGATGTAGTGTATATGGAGAAGAGGAGGGGTCCAAGAACTGATCCCTGAGGAACCCCAGTGACCAATTGATGTGCTTTGGAGTCAATATCTAAGTAGAGCACAAAAATGCAAAATAAAGACTATAATGCTCAAAAACCCCAAAACAACACTGTTTCCATCAGTGCCACTGTTATGATTTGTTTAATTGTGTTGCCTATGTAAATTAAATAATTTCTTGTTGATGTATATTTTATGGAAGCCCATTTCCACCACACGATAAAAAAATAAAAAAGTAATTGCAACTTTGTATCTGACTTTTTTTCTCACAATTCAGCAGAACAGAGACAAAAGTATAAATAAAAAAAATCAGAATAGCAAGATATAAAAATGCAATTTTGGGAAGAAAAGTCAAAATTGTGAGACAAAAACTCGCAATTACCGTTTAGTTTTTCCATAATATTTCACTGATGCATTACATTCAAAAAAATAAAAAATCTTGCAGCTAAGTCTTATATTTCCATCATATGTTTAATTTGTGTTTTCATCATTTTCATAAAGTCTAAAAATACATGTTCATGTCTGCCACAGCCTATGAAATATGCGTGTCTGTTTCAGGTCCCGAGGGCTGCAACTTGTTTATCTATCACCTGCCACAGGAGTTCGGCGATAACGAGCTAATGCAGATGTTTCTTCCGTTCGGATCTGTCATCTCGTCAAAGGTGTTCATGGACCGAGCCACCAATCAGAGCAAATGTTTCGGTCAGACACACCTCCCTGCTTTCAAACATACACTGGCATCTCTGTCATCAGTTAATACTACTTACTACTGTTCAAAATTTTAGGGTCAAGAATGCATTAAACTGATCAAAAGTGACAGTTAAAGACTTGACTGTAATTTTACAAAAGATTTCTATTTCAAATAAATGCTTTTGAATTGTAAAAAAATAATAAATAAATACAGTTTCCACAATGACATTAAGTAGCACAACTGTTTTTAACACTGAAGACTGGAGTAACGATGCTGAAAATGCAGCTTTGTATTACAAGAATCTATCTATCTATCTATCTATCTATCTATCTATCTATCTATCTATCTATCTATCTATCTATCT